AATGTCCTTCTTACTAAACAGCATACAAAACATAATGAATACTTTTGGCCCAAATCAACAAAATATTTAAGAATGTAGTTTTCTTGATTATAGCTATTTTCTTAAATCCAGCTTCATACTGTCAGATTCGTTAGCAGCTTCTGAAACAGTTATTTAATTTTATTTTAATTTACTGCTTTACTTCAGTTTTCAATGCAATTTGGATCACAAGAAATATTGTCTATTTTAAGTTATAATATGAATCATTATCAATTAACCAGTCAAGCCACAAAATGCTGACTCCTTTATTTCCCCCACTGTTGTAATTTCGATCTTAGAGGAGGAATTCAGTTAAACACACGAGAAATATTTCTGTAATACAAGACTATAGACTACTACAAGAACAACCACCAGTTTACAATTTTTAATGCCTAGATAATTTTCAAAACTGCATGCCTGCATTTCCAAAACCAGAAAGTACCATATATATAGAAAGAGATCAACTAAGTAACAATTAAAAAAAAAAAAAAAAAAAGCTGTCACTGTCCACAGGAACCATGTCTAGTCACGTTTTCAGTCAGTCAGTCAGCTAGCTGAGGGTCATGTCATTATTTAGTTTCTGTAGAAAAAACACAAGTACAAAAATAGTATCAAAAAGCAACATACCTATTTTTAAATATATTTATATGAAAACTTAATCGCTACAAGGGCATATAAATAAGGCTTTTAATATATTTAGAAGAATCATATTAAAATTTTATACATGCTTCCCTAGCATTTAAAGGAAGGGTGAGCAGTGTTTGAAAGCCAGTACATTTCTGCAGTATACTGTTGATACAAAATATAGTTAATTTATTTCTTTTATTTTAAAAGAGTAATTGTATCATAGTTGAAAATATTTTTACAATGAAATAAATCATTATAAATATATATGTTAATATATGTTAAACTTCAAGATTTTAATGAAGTTTTAACCAAAAAAAAAGAATGCAAAATCAAATCAGTGATACAGGACTTTTTAGAAGGATCATAAAAATACAACAATAACCAAATATTTCATGACAGAATAAGAGTTTGGGGGTTTGGTGTTTGTTGGGGTTGGTTTGTTTATGGGATGAGGTTGTTTTTGGGGGGGGGGGGCAGAAGGATAGTGTTATTTAAATAGAACTACTAAATTGGAATTAAGACATTAATCAGAATTCCACAACACATTTTTCTGAAAGATACCAAATTCTTTCCTTCCTCCTTCCAGTACCTGAAGGGGGCCTACAGGAGAGATGGGGAAGGACTCTTTATCGAGGAGTATAGCAATAGGATGAGGAGTAATGGTTTTAAACCAAAAGAGGAGAGATTTAGATCAGATATTACGTAGAAATTCTTTACTGCGAGGGCGGGGAGACACTGGAACACGCTGCTCAGAGAAGCTGTGGGTGCCCCAACCCTGGAGATGTTCAAGACGAGGCTGGATGGGGCTTTGAGTAATCAAATGGTCTAGCGGAAGGTGTCCCTGCTCATTGCAGGGGGGTTGGAACTCAATGATCTCTAGGGTCCCTTCCAATCCAAACCTTTCTATGATTCTATGATTTTTGAATGGTGTAATTTACACAACAGGCGTAAGACAATTGCAGTGAGGTTCTCATGAAATACTCAAAGCAATGCAAAAACCTGAGTTGAGAGCACAAGCTGGTCAACGCCAAGAACATTAAGACAGCTTCTGCTTTTAGCAACTGCCTAGAAGTAGACATTGTAGTTTTCTTCTCAAGCTTACACCAACTCAAAGAAAGATGGTTTGAAGTGGTTATTTCCACCATTAATACTTACTTAGCATAAGAGGGGAGAACCTCACCCAAAAAACCCCAAGCTTACATTAGAACTTAAAGTAGTTACAGACCAATAAAGTTCTCTTATATCCATAATTTCTCTGCTAATTTTAACTACTCATATAAACAATTGAATTTTCATTGGCTTGTAGGAGACCCAGAGCCTGCAAAATTCATTAGATGGGTTAGTTTACAATATTAATACACATGTATTCAAATTATCCTGATAAACAAAGGTTATTGCAAGATCATAGGCTATTCTCGTGATCAGAAGTTTACATTGCAAGAGCATTACCATAGTACACCATTGCCATAAAACATTTTTAAGAAACAATTTTGTAAATTGTACTTAAAAATATGATTAGATAAGAAAAATATTATTGGGAGGAAACTTCAAAAAGTCCAATAAAAACTGTGTTGAAATAATAAATGTTTCTTTACATTGAACTATTCAACTGAATTAAGTTTATTTTCATACAGATTCAATTGAATTCACAGATCTTATCAGGGATTTTAATCAGAGAATCTTGTATAGAAAAGGCTATTGCAGAAATCCAGTCATCTTGTTAGAGATGAGAGGCAAGCAATACATCAGAACTTTAGAAATTATTTATTTTTTTAAGAGGTAATGATTTCCTTAAGTGAAAACTGACAAAAGTTTTAGCTAAGAAGATTATTTCCTCCAGTTAAAATTCAAAAGGAACAAAAGTTTATATTCTCACATCTTAAAAAAAAAAAAAAAAAGAAAAAGGTACTATTTCAGATGTAGAGAAAATTCTATGCCCTTTCACATGCACAATTTAAAGCTTTAATTGAAAGCAAAATATAAGTCTCTAAACTACTGCACAACTCGTCAGTCAGTCCAATGCAGAGTCACACAGTAGTGAGCTTTATTTAATTGAGCAAGCCCTTTTAAAAAGGAGCACAGATGGAATTTTTCTTTTTATGTACCATTTCATTTGAATTTGAGAAACTGGCTAAAGGACAAACAGAGAGCAGGTAATTTTGTCTAAGAAGAGATAGATACTATGACAATCTGCTAAGAGACTCAGAATCAGGAACTTGATGTACAGGACGTAACAAGATATAACACAATAAATGTAGAAAGCTCTTCTACCTCTGTTACTGCACGGACACAGCAGATGAAAGGCTACCCAGAGGAGAAATACTCAGAAGTCTCTTACACAAGAATTACAGGTAAGCTGTCCAAGCCACATTTAGGGTACCCATTTTAGAACAAACTAAAACTAGTATACTCTATTATTTGAAAGTGTACAGAAATGTAAAAACCTAGGAAAGGACAAAGAGCTTTGCTGTAATTTTGCATGTGCAAAAACATTATTTTTCAAACACGACCTTATTTCTCCAGTTTTTTAATTAGGTGAAATGACAAAACAGCAAATGCGTATGCCCTACCCTCAACTTATAAGATAGTTCAGGTTTCCAAGTAGTCAATAATAGGTATATACTAGAATTTTTGAAGATAATTTGAATTATGAAGTAAGTTTTAGCCTTTTGAAAATCCCATTGGTGACCACTGCACCTTTTGTCAGCTGCAGACTTTAAAGAATATTCTCAAAAATCACACTGGAAAAAAGTATGCTTGCATGTCTGCACGCTTGTGTGTGTGTGAATAAAAAGAAAAAAAAAAAAATCAGTTTTAGGTTGACAATCAGAAGAGAACTTCCCAGTCTTCTTTCTCGTCTGGCTTAAAAACACAGAAATAAAAAGTAAGGATAAATCACCTTTCTAATTTTGGATGCATATCGTATCTATGCTTTTCTAGTACAAAGTAGTCAAGGCAGAGCTGATATTACATTACACTTTATATCACAGTTTTGCCTGTAGTGACCAAGAGGGTGGCCTTTTATTATTTGAAGTAAGAATCACATTAAAAACAAACAAAACCTTTGTACAAAGATAAGAGCACAGGTACAAGTTACTTAAAATTGGTTTCAACAGAGTCGATGATTAAAAAAAGTTTAAAGAGTTTTAGTTGCAATTCAATGCAGGAAAAAAATGCTAGAAAACCATTGTTCTAAAAAAGCAAGTTGTATATAAAGATTAAGGCCACCTTTAGTAACTGCTGCTTATCAAAAAAACAGCAATAAAGTGCTTAGGAAAATAAGGAGGAAAAGAACACTGTGAGCAAAATCTTTTTTGGTTTTGGCATCCCCTGGGTCACAAAGAATATCTATACAAAGAAAGGTACAAGAAGTGAAGCTTAGAAGTACAATATTGATGCAAATAGAGTCAGGAGTTCATGTGATGTTTTCTGAATGAGTTAAAGCAAAACTACATGTCCCCTATGAAGATAAGGAAGTTTCTGAAATTTTTTGGAAGCTACAATAATATTTGGGAGTTACTTTGTAGACAACAGAGCACATCCTCTCCTCCACCAACTATATTTCTCTTTTTGCAATAGTCATGATGTTAAAAAAAAAAAAAAAAAAAGAAATTTGCTATAATTTGAATCAAAACCAATGTTTTAAAAGAACAAGTGAATTTTGGTCCCTAAAGTCTATAAAACCTCTCTAGGAGTTCAGCCAGCTTTCACAGGTTACAAATATCAACTAATACATTCTCAGTCTAATTATCTTAAACATACAACTCAATTCCACCACAACAGGCTCCGCAATATTTTCTTCACTTTCACACATTCCAGCTACACCTGATTTCTGAGTATCCAGATGACCCAAATATCCCAAACTTTCAGTTTCACTTGGCAACCTGCCCTGTCTTTCCCATTTCCTTTTTTATTTACACCTTCCTTCCTCTGTCCTTCAAACTCTGCATCTTTATCCAACACCACTGTAAGGGCACGGGCTTTTAATGAAAAAAAGACACACACAACCTGATTTCAGTTCCAATGTTTATTTTTGCATATTCTTTTCAATGTTAACTGACACTCTTATATACACAAAGTGATTATTTCTATGAACATCCAGATTGATGTTAATCAACTGGTTCATATTTGTTTAGACATTATAAAAATAGATTTTTACTAAAAGTGTTCGTGTGCATATATAAGCATACACACACCCATATATATGTGTGTATGTAGACCCATGTATCACAAACTAAATTTCAAGTTGTTAGATAAAAATAGATTTAAAGTTACATGTTCATATCTAACTTCAAAATACTTTGCCTATCAAAGTTGATCATCAGTTTAAGTAACAGCTCAGACTGGGTACTCACCTGCTCAGTAAGTTCTCTGTCGTTTGTTAGATTCTTCTGTAGGTGAGTCTGCCAACCTTACTTTAAGTCTGACACCATTTACAGTCTTGCCATGTAACGCAGTTATGGCATCACTGGCACTTGCTCTGTCTGCAAATTTTGCATAGCCCACATTTTTTCCAGCCACAAGATAAACTTTTATCAAGTGTCCAAAACGACTGGAGAAAAAACAGAAAAAAAAGATAATTTACATGTTTTGCTGCAACATAGATACTTGTTATCCAACATGAAGTATAAATGATCTAGCAGCTGCAAAAACTACATTATCATATATATGCTATATTTTCTTGTGCTGCCCTCTTCCAAAACTCCCAGCTTTCATCCTCCCTTCTCTAGAATTCCAGGCAGGCATAGGAATAAAACCAGAAGTCCGCAGGCAATGTTTTCTATGGATATTACAATAGAACCACAAGGACCAGTGATTTAACTCTAATTTAAAAGACTTTGTAAAGCTCATCAATACCATAGTTCCCAAACACTAAATGCCACTCAAAAAAAACCACAAAACCAAAACAACAAAAACCCCCAAACAAACCAGAAAGAACACACACACACAGGCAAACCAGCAGATAATTCAGAGGCTAAACTTGCATTGCATTTAAATGTTCAGCTGTGATTCATCTTTGAAAAGGTCTCACTGAAATTACCCAGATATCAAGTGCCAAAGCTTTATGGAAAAATCCAGATTTCCAAGTCCTCAGGAGATTCCTAGACAGTTCCTTAAAAGACCATTTAAAATAAAAAAAAAAGGTCTGCTTGCTTCATACTGAAGTTATACAACTTCAGTAACTGAATAGCTGAAGTTATTCAAGACTAGGGTGCACAGCCTTTTTTTCCTCCAGCATCTGATTAAGATAATCCAGTATATCAAATAGGCAGAGTTTTAAATTCAACAAAAGGGCATGTTGTTTCTTTTCTTCTCCCAGTGCTTTGAAAATAGTTTAGCTTTCCAAAGATTTATTGCAAATGCCAGCTATTAGAAAAGGGAAGTGTCTTTTTCTTGAAGAGTATGATTAAAATAAATAATATAAAATACTCGAGAGCGGTTGAATCATAGATTTGTTTTTAAGATGGTAAAAATTGTCTCAAGTCTTTGCTCCTCATAGGGAGATAGTGTGAAAAGAAGGTTGAAATAGTGTCAGTAAGATGCAAATGATCAAAATGCCTCACGATATAAGAGAAAAAACCCTCCCCCTACTTACTCTCCTAAGTTACCGTGGAAATTTATCCAAATAGTTACATTCCTTAAAGAAATATGTACAAGAAAATACCAAATAAATTAGGGTATAAGGACCTGAAGTACCACATTTTTTGGCTAAAAAAAATAAATGTTAAAAGACTAGAAATTTGACTTAAAATTATATTAATCAGTAATAAAGCTGCTCTACTGATGTCATCCATCTATACTTCAAGGTGAATTCCATTACACTCTTGTTTCAAAAAGCAACTGTTACCTATTCATCATTTATTACTTATTGATCACTGTGCAGTGTCTTTTCTGGAAAGAGTTTTCAACATTTACTTTAAATATTTCATGGTGGTTGTTTTTTTCGTTCGAGAAGGCTTGTTTGTAAGTGGACTCTTACCAGAACACATCCTCCAATACATTTATGGGTAAAGGATGGGGATGAAAAAGTATGAAAAGCCTTTCCTTCACAGAAGTGTCAGGCGGAACTTTTTTTTTGTGTGGTGGAAGTATGGCATCTGTTTGGGGTTGAAGTAACTGTGAGCCAGAAGTTCCTCCAAATGACTGCTGAAATGGGAAAAAAATGCAAGTATAAGTTAACCAACGATGGGGTGAAAGTCATTTTACTTTATTTATAATTTTTGTTCCTATCACAGGACAAATAGGCTCTACCAGTTCTCATTGTAATTAATTTGTTCACTTTGGTTATTTCATTAAATTAGACAAAAATCCACATAAGGTCAGACACCTTTATGAGGAATAAAAATGTACAAACCGACCAGAGGTACATCTTAAAAATGCAGCATCTAGAACAGTTACAGAAGAAACTGAGCAGTGTTCTTCATTGGCATATCTGGTTTCTTACAACAATTTGGGAGAATATTAACAGTAACCACTATATTAACTTACAGGAGGTGTCCTATACTGCTGAACATTTATATTGTTATTCCGCAATGTGGATGACACCTGTGCTGTTACCAGCTGCGTGGCCATTTTTCTGATAAGTCTGCAACAAGAAGTCATAATAAACTATTTTAAAGAAAGAGCTAAGTTATGGTAATACTAAATTCAGCAAGAGAAAATTTAATGCATATCTGAAAGTATCTCTGGAAATCTGTAGGCTCACCTAGATAATGAAAATCAAGTCAGGTTTTCATGACACTCTAGACATGATATGAAAGTATGCATGGTAGCTGCCACTTACTGAAAACACTCACACATTTATACATATAGAGATACAAAACCTCTTCACATTTTTAATGCTCTGGGGGAGGGGGGGAAATAAGAACAAAACATTAACCCTACAGAGCCCACTACAACTTATGAAAGGTGCCTAAAAGGCAGAAGGGACAGAAAAATTTCACCTGTTTCAATAAAGAACACAGAGATTCAATTCAGAAGTCAGAATACTATTAAATTGTACTTTCAGCTCTCATTTTCCAGTGATTTTGCTTTGTTCTGTTGCAGACTAAGAAAAAGCAATTGTACTTTTTGCACAGATTCACAGCCTATGTTGTAGGACTGCAAAGCAGTAAGAATTATTGAAGAATTAGGGAATTGTTTGCAAGAAGGATGGTTGCAATTTTTATTTTTTTTTTTAGTTTAGATCTGACATGCACTTCTGAAGTGAACCTTCCCATTATCTCCCCTTACTGTTTGCATTCATATCCCAGAATAGGTTTGACATGAACAAGATTCCTTTAGGATGAAACTAAGCCAAAATATTAACTTCAGGAGCGTACCTAAGCTGCCCCAACTTGTAATGGGCACAGCAACAAATTAGAGATGGGCAAAGTAAAACCTGATGATCCCCATACAGTGGGGATATCTGATCCTCAGCACCCAACAGTTTTACTCTACAGATGTGCTTCACAAGGCTACTATTTGCAGCACTACAAACACAACCAAGAAATCAAGTAGATAAATCTGGTTTCAATAAAAAAAAAAAAAAACCTCATCAAAAAACACATCACAGCCTTGCTAGATATTACAGAGACATTTACAAAAATTCTTGCCAAATCCTATATTTTACAATATATCTTAAGAATATATATTTTAATTTACTATCTGCAAATGTGAAACAAGATGACAGTGACATTGCTGTTACTTTGTATGTTAAAATTTTATTTCAATTTTTCTCTCCAAAGCACAACTTACAACCTTCTATCTCTATATATCGATACTTACTCTGAGCTATCACTCCCATCTTCTAAGAAAATGACAGTTAATCGATTTCCAGGAGGATACTCAAAACCATGTAATTTATACTTGGCATATATTGCTGACGCAGCAGTACTGTACTGAATCACAGCGTACCCTGCAAATACAGTGCACACAGTTTCAGCATGATATGGGTAAATCCTAAAAACAAACTACACTCATATAAAGCAATAGGATTAAATTCCACATTAGTCATGGTTGATACAAAATTCTTAAGTCTTTTTACCATACATCACTTAATGCAACATCAGTAGTATTTGTAAAGAAAACTTCAGTGGAATTAACTAGTGACAGACCAGCTTTATTTATGCTAACTTGACATGATGCTAATAAAGCAACACAAGTGAAAACATGCCTCCTTCCCTAACCCTGAATTAGAAACAAAAACATACATAGTTTCATTTTAAATTGCAATTATCCCATCAACAGTGAATCTGAAGTGCTCTAAAGTTACATTGTAATTCTCTGAATTACTTCCATTTCAAGCTTCTTGGAGAAGAGACCTCTTCCACATTTTTCTCAGCAATAACAAAACAACGAGAAGACTAAACAAAAACAATCTTTCCAATACAAAACATGATTTGTTTTGGAAGGATTTAATCCAGTTTACTTATGTCAGTTTTTACACACAGACACACCATCGCTCCATTTCAAGATAAAAACTCAAAAGGTGTGTTTAGAGAACACTTAATCTAGATGTCTAATAATTTTTGAAACTTTTTCTCTATTTATTCTGCCCAAAACTATAAACTTAATTTAACTAAAACACACTTCCCATTGTTTTGATTCTGTCCTTCTTGAGATTTTATTATCTGAAAATAAAGGTATTTAAGGCCATATGTAAACAGGCGTTCAAAGAAAACTGAATTTTTGGGTTTATGCAACAGTGATAGCAGCAACAATTGATACTTAAAACATTAATTCTTTCCAACAAGTATACTGTATTTTGCAATACAAATGAAGTAAAATTAAAAGGCATTCCCCTTCACAGAAAAAAATAAATAATCTTTTTGTACTTTTACTTACCACTATTGGTATGAGGATCTCGCTGAACATCACAATATTCCAGTCCCGGGACCAGATCAAAGAGGGCGAACAACTGCTCTTGGACAAAGGGAAGCCGCGACACCACTGACAGGCGCTTGGAGACCGACTCTTGAATTCTGCTCTCATGTTTTTCAAAACTACAAAACTCAGGCTGCCCACCTCAAGAATCAACATAAAAATAAGTAACTTGAGTCATCACACTAGCATGCCTGCATTTCATACATATTTTTCCCCCAACTTTATAAAGTAATCTAAGCTAATTATATACTAAAGGTAGTGTGTTTATTTCAGCAATGCAAGTCACAAAATAATCGACCAACTAGAGCAAAGCAAGCTATAAAAATATAGAAATGAAATGCCTGGCGTGTTTCTAACTCCAACAACCAATCTACTATTTAAGTGTGGACCTAAGTCTCCACTAGCTTTCCTTCTTCCAAACTGCATTCTTAGTTTGTGACCATACTCAAGACTACAAATCATTTTTAGTATAAAAAACTGTGACTTACAAAATGGAAGCGTATTTCCTCTTGGTTCTTGTCTTGTGTTATTACTATAGTAATCGTGCTCAAGAGACTCAGATGACTTATTTTTAGGTTCAGCCAAAATGGCCCTGTAGCCTGAAAGAAACAACCACACACATAGCAACACCTCAGCACATCTGAATTATCTGATGGGATAATTCAAGTACTGTATTCAGAAAACTCTGTAAGTGCTGGTTTAAGGAAAATAACTCATCTATAACTCTCCAAGTCTGGTATAATTATTGTGTGAAAGTTAACAACTTCTACATAGAACCACTCCTAGTCACAAGTTAAGCACAACAGAGCCTACTTGCTGTGAGAGTGACTGAGCATTGCACAGGTTGCCCAGGGAGGTTGTGGAGTCTCCATCCTTGGAGATACTCAAAAGCTGTCTGGACATGGCCCAGAGCAACAACAGTGCCCAGGTGACCCAGCCTGATCAGAAAGGTTGGGCAAGATGACCTCCAGAGGTCCCTTTCAACTTCAACCATTCTATGATACTTGATAGGATTCAGAGACCCTCCAGAGGCAATCATCTGAACTTCCATGTTTAACAGCAATTTACGTATGTTTTGCACTGATCGAGGTTTTGCTTTTATGAAAGAAATAAGTATTACTCTCAGGCTATCCAATTTCATTTTAACCTCACAGCAAAAAGGAATTAAAATTTAATTGTTAAGTACTCTCAGATTCATATTTCTATGCAAGAATTGTCACAACTATAATTGTTGTAGAACCACTTAGGATAGATATGATGTGGAACCACCACATATATTACTAAAAAAAAAAAAACAAAACCAAAAACACACAACAACAAAAAACCAACCACACACACAGTTGTTTCATATTTGTGATTAAGCAAACATTGAACAGGAGGCTGGACTGGAAGGCTGCTGTTAGATTTCCCCCAAACCCTGTTTTCTCCTGGATAAGAAAGTCCAGTTCCCTCCATGTCCCCTCATAAGTCATGTGATTCAACCCCTGACAACCTTGGTGGCCTTCCACCACACTCACTCAAATTCATTAACACCTTTTTGGTAGTAAAGCATAAATGACAAATGGTTGGTCATAAAGCGTACAAAGTCTTTCATTCTGCAACAGATTAATCATGACATTAGACAAAAGATAAACTATAAAACCACACACACCCAAACTCTAATTAGGATTAACTTGTTCTTAAATGTAATCCCAAGAGAATCCCTATGGATTATCAAATATATTTTTATATATGAATTAATTTTATATCAAATACATTTGATTAAAAATGCATATTCCCAGGGATATATTAAAATGAGGTTTTCCTGTGTATGAAGCCTACAGTATAGGCCAATACTAACGCATGAAAGAAAACTCCATCTGTTTCCAAACTCTTTTTACTGATCTTACTTGCAGTTTGGTCCTGCAAGAATGTAATCAGGTGACTGTCCTCACTGACTATTAATAATACTATTTTTTATTTGCAATAGAACTTTGTCTCAAGATGTATTTACACCATAAATAATTTGCCCACAAACAAAACTAAAAATCAAAGGTACATTTATGATGATACACACTTACTGTGAAAAACTTGAACGAATTAAGTGAAATTTTTACCTCGATCACACTCTTCAATTGCTCGGGCAGCTTGAGATGGTTTTAAATATCTCACATAGCCCAAACCTTTGCTTTCTCCAGTAGTCTTGTTTTTAATAATGCTGCAATATTCAATGTCTCCATACATCTAGAACAATTTAAAAGCATATTAATTTACAATATTTGAAAATGCATTAAAGTTCCATGTGTTAAGCCCTTCCAATAAATTAGAATAAAGGCAATTTAAAATAACAATTAACAAATATCGAATCAATACCTTAAACTTCTCTCGCAGATCTTCCTCTGTGTAGAATTTTGGTATCATAACAAAAATTCGTGTAAGTTCCTCATCTTCAACATCTCGGTGGCTTCCAGAAGCTCTTGACTGTGCAATAAATACCTAATGAAATAATTACACAGACATTAATTACTGGAGAAAAGGTCTTAACTACATATCAGCAAGCAAGAAAAATTGTTTCAACAAGTCTTTGCATTATCTTTCACATAAGCTAGCTTTCCTAATATGGAGAAAAAATGAGTATCTCTGATCACAGATGCATCTGTGACAAAAGACTTACAAATACAATACAACCCAAATGGTTTTCCAAACAGAACAGAAGCCAGCAGAAGTTCTCACTAGGGCTAATGAAGAATGGTCAGGAACATCAAAGCCTGATTCAGTGTTACTGACAAAGTCACAGGTGGCATGCGAGGTAGCAAAAAATGCATTACTGCAACAGGCCTAGTATAGCACTAGTAACAAAAAAATAAGCAAGCAAACAAAAAAGCCTAGGAGCTTATTAAAACCTTGCTACTGCAGTTCACTGTTCAGCTGGGCCAAAGTCTGCAGGTCCAGTGTTCTATGAAGGATTGTAACATCTCACATCTGTAACTGTTAAAATCCTTTTTCATTATTGAAATAAACTACAGATGACAACCAGGAGAAAAAACCAAAACAAACAAAAATTCCCACCAAAACAAAAACCCAAACAATCTCAGAACAACCAAATCAGAAAAATACCAACAACTTTCAAAATAAGCCTCTTATGCAAAAGAAGCAACTGATTTCACAGAGCTCTTAAATTCTTTTTCTGGGGGGACTAAGGAATTCAACTCTGATCTTTTGGCTTCTAATTACAAGTTCTTTAGAAAAGATTTTACTGACTCAGTTGCTTTTTCAAAGGAAACACAGGGAAATCTTCTTTCACTGTTCGAAGTCATTCATATCTTTCCATTACTTGGGGAATATGAAAACAATTCAAGAGGTTGAAAGCTGCCAGTGAGTTCCACAGATTAAAAATGCCCCATAATTGTTTTGAAATCACTGTGCACAAGATACAAAAATGATATAAAATACACTTGTAAAACCAGTTCTATTTATCCACGTTGATTTTGCTCACGATACGTAAAATACACTGTCTTAGAATATTCCACAGAGACTCCCTCATGGTTAAAAAACAGAAAAAAAAAAAAAAAGAAAAGCTAGTTTCCAGGTTCTGCACTTTCCCCAGGCCTGCTGCAGCTTATGCCACGCGTGGGAACCTGGGGCAAGGGTGGGACCCGGGGCAGCCCCTCCTGAAGAGCACCATCACCGACCCCGCAACCCCGCGGCCGAAACCGCCCCGGGTTCGACCCAAAAGGGTGACAACACCCCCACAACGGCCGGTGCCCCCGCGTAGGCCCACGCTACCTTCCAGCGGCAAGCCCGGGGCGCAGCGGCCGAGGCCTGCCGCCCTCCGCGGCAGCCATGCTGGGAAGGGAAGCGGGGCTGACCCCGCCGGCTCGGCCCCGGCCCCGGCCCCGCTCCCCAGCGGGACGGGGAATAGCGCGGCGGCAGTACCTTGATGGGCTTCGTGTCGGGGACCAGGCTGCGGCCGTGCATCTCCTCCATGGCCCGGCAGGCCTGCGAGCTGCGGGCGAACTTGATGAAGGCGATACCGCGGGACTCGTTGGTGCGCTTGTCCCGCAGGAGCCAGATGTTCTGGATGTCCCCGAAAGGGGAGAAACGCTCCCGGATCAGCGCCTCCCCGGTGTCCTTCCCTAGCACCACGAAGACGCGGCTGTTGGGCGGCTCATCCAGGCACTCGGCCGACAGGCGGAAGCCATTGCCCTCCTCCATCGCGGGGCCGCCGGGCTCCCGGGGCGCCGGGGACCGCTGGTTTTTTTCGGGAGCCGGCGGGGAACGTCCGCAGCGCCCTTTCCGCCGGGGAGACAACATGTCCTCCGCCTCCCCCGCGCCCCTCCCGCCTCCCCGCGCCCACTCAGGGCCGCGGCCTCGCCTGCGGCGGGCGGGGCTCCCCGGCCGCCCCACGCCGGGCTTCAGCGCCTTTGGCCGGCTAGTGCGGCGCACCCGGCTCCCCGGGGAGAGCTGCCTGCCGGCCTGCCCGGGCCACCGGCGCCTCTACCCTGCGGGAGACGGGCACCTGCTCCCCGGGGGCGGCAGCGGGCGAGTGGGAAGGACTAAGCTGAGGGGAACGGAGAGCTGGTGCCGAGGAGAGGCGCTGCCGGGACCCCCCTCTCCGCCGGCAGCGCCCGGCCAGGGGCGGTGTCACGCAGCCACCGAACGGGAGGAACCTCCGGAGGCCGCCGGGGCCGACCCCCTGCTCGGGCAGGGCCGCCCGGGCCGAGGTTTGGAGTGTCTGCAAGGAGGGAAACTCCACAGCACCCCTGGTCAGCCTGTGCCAACGCTCGGTCGCCCTCACAGTGAAGAAGCGTTTCCTGATCCGCGGGTGGAACCTCCCCGTGTTTCAGTTCGTGCCCGTTGCCTGTGGTCCTGTCACTGAGCACCACTGAGTCTGGATCCACCTTCATTCACTCCCTCCAGATATTTATACATATTTATGAATTCCACCCCGAGCCCTCTCTTCTCTGGGCTAAACAGTCCCAGCGCTTTCAGCCTTTCCTCGTATGAGAGGTGCTCCAGTCCCCTTGTAATCTTCGTGGCCCATCATTGGACTTTGAGTATGTCTCTGTCTCTCTTGTACTGTGGAGCCCAGAGCAGGACACAGTGCTCCAGGTGCGGCCTGACCAGTCCTGAGTAGTGGGTATGAGTCATCTCCCTTGTCTTGAAGATGACACTCCTAATGTAGCCCAGAATACTGGTAGCCTTCTTTGCCGCAAGGGCACGCTGCTTGCTCGTGCTCCCCTTCATGTCCACCACAACGCGCAAGTCCTTTTCTGCAATTTTAAGCCGGTCATCCCCCCAGCATATACAGCTGTATAGGATTGCTCTTCACCAAGTGCAGGATTCTTGCACTTCTCCTTGTTGAACTTCTTGATGCTCCTGTCAGACCCTCCTCCAGCCTGTCAGGTCCATCTGGATGGCAGCATGACCCTCTGGTGTATCGACCACTCCTCCCAGTTCTGTACCCTGTGTCAATATTTCCCTAACATACTTTTGCTGCAATAATTTATTATTATTTTTAAAGAGCCCCCTTCAGCCAGAGACTCACTACTCTACACGGTGACCCACCTCCTTTGAAACAGCACTATTGTCTTAGAGTTCCTCCACAAAGAAACCTCTGGCAAGGTCTTTGCTGCTATAGGCAACAGAGAGGCTTAACGTTCATCTTGTGAATGCTCAGGTTACAGAGGCACAGGGAATTAGATATATTTCATGGGAGACAAACAATAAAAAATATCCACGAAAAAGAATTTTCTGTAGGAAAATAACCACACAGCTAATAAAGCATGAAGAATACAATGTTGTTATAAAGTTCATCACATCTTCAGCAGTTGGATTCAAAAATAAAGAATTCCTCAGCTGAATACAGGAGCTGTCGGTGCCCTAGGGCTGTCGTGACCCCCATCACTGCACACCAAGGAGCCAGGGATCCACAGCGCGGATCCCCTGGATGGGTGCAGGGATCCCACAGCCCTCTTCTCCTGGGTGGGCTTAGGCTGGGGCTCTGCTGGGCTCTGCTGCAGGCACAGCCTGACCATCAGGCCCTACCCTGCTCCACACATCCCTCAGCCAAGGACTAAACTCAGCAGCTCATCCTTACAGAGGAGCCCGCAGGCAGCTCCAGCTCTGTACCAGCGATCACACCTCCTGCCTGGCCTTGCCTGTGTCTAACAGCGCAGCAAAATGGTCTCACAAGAGCGTTGTTTCTGTTGTGACTGTAGAAATTATAGATTTGTTTCCTTGTGTCTTGATTTGAGGTAAAACAGAATGAATCTTCTTTTCAGTGATTTTACTTTTCAGCTAAGCCTCTTCTAACTAACTGAACTCTCTGAAATTAATGGCATATTTTTCAAACAGTGTCCTCAGTGTTTTGAGCACTGTGCAGCCCTGGCAGTGGCCTCGGGAATGGCGTTTTTGTGGGGGTTAAACGGCGTCCTGTCTGGGGAGTGTAATGTAGAAGGTCGATGAGAATTCTTAGAGGAATATATTTCAGTTATAGTGATTATGTTTTATTCCATATAAAGGAATACTTGGGAAAATCTATTAAGCTCCTTCTTTGCACACCTCTTCTCTCTTTACAGAAAAGCAAGGTTACAACTCCTCAGGAGCTGCATTTTAGGGCTGGGAGGAGACGTCCCTTCCAGACCAAACGGTGCGTTCGTTTTTCCCCAGCCCCTGACCCCGTTTGTTCCTGGCACCGCGGAGCGAAGCCATGGAAGGGCCACACCACCACTTGGTTTGAAACACAAGCGTTTCGGCATAGGGAACGCGCCTGGAGAGGGAGGGTGGTGCTGCTTGGGGCTCGGTGACAGGGCCGTCTGCTTCCCGTCCCGTCCCGTCCCGTTCCGTCCAACCCCCGCCGTCCCGCCGGCCGTTGGGAGCGTTGGGACCGCTAGCGCAGCGCGTGACAAAAGGCCGCGATGCTTAATCCCGCCCCTTGGGCCCGCGACGCACCAATCCGGAGAGAACGTGCTGCGTTGTCTTCTCCGCGATTGGACGTCGCTTCGATGACACCTGCTCTTTGACGGGCCGAGCGCGGAGTGGCGGCGGCTGGCGGCCGGTGGCCAGGGCGGGTGGCCGGGAGCGGGGCGGCCCTGTGCCTGTCGTGCCCTCACAGGACCAAAAGGCGCCCGACTCTTCTTCGTGCCTCGCAGGCACCTTCCCCCTCCGTCCAGGCCGTTGCCACGGGACGTCCCGTTTATGATGTGGGTGTCGTGCCAGGGACTGTAGTAGGGGTTGAATTCTGCAGCTCTGGGGACAGTCTAAGTGACGCTGCGACCCGCAGGGAAACCCTGAGGTGCTGCTGTGGTTTAGATCAGCCTGCGGGACAAAAGTACGTTGAACTTTATTCTCACCATCAAAGTAGCTCTAGAAAAGCCATCGAGGAACTCTGAGCTACCTTAACCTCCAAAGATAAGAATAACAAATTATTTTATTCTGCACCTCTCAGAGAGGCAGGAAAAATAATAATAATTCTTTTTAAATGGTGCTTTCCCTAATCATAAATGGGATAACAAAAAAATTTAATTCATGGCCATCAGCAACCAGATCATGTTGAGAAGTTGTGCAGCTTAACAGAGTCTTACCCAAAAACTTACCTTTACAATTAAGTCCAGGTCAAATTTTCATTACTTTGGGACACATTATTTTTTAATTACTGTGCAAGGCAGAAATATTTTATAAAAATGCAGATGATAAATGTGACTAGCAACAGTGAACTTTTCTGCAGTATTGTTCAAATTTCCCCCTCTTTTTTTTTTTACATAGATCAGAATGGGTGATGTTGAAAAAGGCAAGAAGATCTTTATTCAGAAATGTTCTCAGTGCCACACAGTTGACAAAGGTGGAAAGCACAAGACAGGACCAAATCTTTGGGGTTTATTTGGCCGCAAAACAGGACAAGCTGCAGGATTTTCTTACTCAGATGCTAACAAAAACAAAGGTAAAAATAGCAGATGACATGGATGAGGTGCAGTGTTGGAGTGGACATATATGAAAAAAACCCTTTCCTTTAGAGCTACAACAGAAAGCCTTACTCACAAGGAGTTATTCTCACAATTGTCTACTTTATATGGCTGCTGATGAATCTGAACTATAGTTTCAGAAACAAAAATCCTCAGTCCCTCTTTTAAAAAGAAATTTTACCAGTATTTAGCACACCAGGTCAGAAGGTTTCCCAGAACTTTGTAGTATCAGTGGGCAGATTTTAATGTGGTTCTTAAGAGCACTTCTAGATTTTGTTTGCTGGTCACTACCCTCTACTGGCACAGTGCTGTGCTGCAGTTGTTTTCCTCAGAACGCTTGACTAAATACTGTCACCTACTACTAAGCTATGACTTGTCTTATGTTTTTCATACAGACAGCCTTGAAATGCAGTGGAACATCTAAAAATTGAGAGTAATTATATGTGGGTTTCATTGGTTTTATTTATATTATTTGAATATAAATTATATTATTTGAATGAAGATATTAATTACAGACACAGTCCTTTGTTTTGGATTGGTTTTTTTTTCCGGCTACTAAAGTGCTTTAGAATTGGCTGACTTTTTATTTTTCTGTGATTTTTAGGAAATGTTTTGTGACATTCACTTTATAGTGGGACTTCCTTCATACGAAACATCATCAGCATATATTAATTTTTTTTTTTTCATTAAAACTACAGCAAACAAATCATTCAGATGTTAGTACAAGTTTTGAAAAGAAAGCCAACAAAGTGATACCTAAATCCACTTCAGACAATAGGAAGAGACAGCTCTGGAGGACAGAAGAGAAACTTGAACATGTCATTATAGGTATTTCAGTAGTCTTCAGTAAACAGTAGGCCTCTGTTGATAGAGACAGGTCTTAGAAGGGCTGGAAGGAAACACTAATGTTTTTTCAACTTCTGTCAAGAGATTCCAGGAACTGGCCATTGACAACTCTTTTTTCTAACGCCCTTCAGTGGAGTACAGCCTTGATGAATTTCATGTCAATCTGTAGATGCTCATTTTCAACAACTGTATGAAATTAAAGTTCAACCTTCTGTATACTGGAATTAAAAAGATACTTAGTTTAAATATAGTAAGTAGTTTTATGTGAAATGGTGCAAAGAACTGCATCTCTCCATGATGCAAAAAGGATTTATATTTGACTTATTAAAGTGATACAATGTATATACCTTGTGCATTTTATATTATCTATCATTTACACTCATATTCCACATTCTAGGCACATTATGTTCAGGACCATCACACCTTTGAATTGAGACCCTTGATATTTTCATAAATATATGATGTTTGGCCAGCCTTGTATTTTACTATGTTGTTTTTGTTTTTCAGGAGTTGTCTGGAATGAGAATACACTGATGGAGTATTTGGAAAACCCTAAGAAATATATTCCTGGTACAAAAATGATTTTTGCTGGAATTAAAAAGAAGGATGAAAGAGCTGATCTTATTGCATATTTGAAAAAAGCAACTTCATGAAACATTGCTGCAGCAGCTGTAATGTCTGTGAAAAATGTTTTGAATTTTGACTAGCTCCTATGTTAAGTTTTAGTATTTTGATGTTAATTATTCATTAGGGACTGACCTTAGCAACATCAAATAAGGATATGTTTTACAATGCTATGTCTTAATAAACAACATTGGGAGGTGAGCAGTTTTTATATTGTGTTATGTGTTTCATAGACCTTTGTGGAGTGTACTATAGAAATACTGTTCCTTTCTATAAGGAGATCTGGAAAGCCCAATTCTGCAACTAGTTATTCAAAACACCCACTGAAACTATTATTCAATTGTAAATAAGAAAGTGCCTGTAAGTATTAGGACTGACAACTAAATGAATTTTTTCTTTTGGAGAAAAAAATCCTCAGCATTGTCATCTGTGAAGGAAAACACATCACACAGTAAATAACAGAATATTAATTAAAATAACACTATATAAGGATGATGGAAGCAGAATATCGAGAATATCAGATATTTTCAGGGGACAAGTAACCTTTCGGGAGTGACATTGACCTAAAAGAATCTTGAGGAGAGAGCTGAACACCCATGACCTTTTTGGTTTAAAAACTACTCGTATTGTTATTGTTCCTTTGTGTATTAAGAAAGCATAATCACCTACTGGTGATTTCTCAGAGTTGGATTTTTTTCTTCATTTGAAGCTAATATATTAATGTATCCTTATCCTCTAACATGTAGAATGAACGCGGGCTAACTAGCTCAAGCAAATGATAGTAGCAGTCATTTTCATCAACAGTAGAGGATTGATGAAGGTGATTAAAGTCCTCCTAAAACCCCTTCATGAATCTCTACCACTTGAATTGTGCTTTACAATTTAATTCTCTGTTTACACAAATGTAATAGATTAAAACACACTTCACTCAAGCAAGGTTTTCTTGTGTCATTGCAGAAGGGGAACATTAGTATAAAACTAATTTGCTACAGTGTCTACTGGTGGGTACTCATCGGTATTGCGGCAATGCTTACACACCAGGGGTTTTAACTGATTGCCTTACAGTGCTCCGCGGAGCTGAACTGCTGTTTTTAAGTAAGCGAATAAGTGAGAGTTGGGTAAAAAGTTCTGTGACACAACTGGATGAGTACCTGCTTTTTTTCTTTTTGTGCTGTAGCTGTAAGATACTTCCCTCTTTCAGTTTAATAATCGGGATCTGTTCTCTTGACTGGTTAGACAATTAAAGCATCTGCCTGAATGACAAAAATTTTCTCAAGTGCTTTCCTCAATTGCATTTTGAAGAGTGCTATGCCACTGCCTTTCTGAAGAGAGAAACACGCTCCACCTGAGAAACGCATTGACATTTCTCCCTGTGATTCCTTCAGGGCATCTCTGTCTGTTTGTACCTGAGGAGACCAGGGGAGACTGGCTACAGCCTGCCTTGCTCGCTGAGCTGGAACTGTGCAGCCACGCCGATCAAAGGTGCATCACACATAGGATGAATCAGATGGAAGCTGCCTGCACCTCACTGCAGCGTACCTGCAGGGTTACGAAGGCACCGCAATCCCACGGAGCTGACAAAATCCACTTGCCTTTTTGGCCCTTCCACAAAAGGCTGCTGCAACCAGTCCATCTCAGGCCCACACACAAAGCTGCAGCCCACCTTACGGTGCACTTATTTACTCACCCTGCAAACAGAGCTAGAGTCTAATTCGTGCCACAGCACAGGCAGATGCAAGATTTCTCCTGACATCCACCAATTCACACCAGGCCAGGCTTCTAAGGCAGGGTTTACCACGACAGCACGTCAAAAGGCTGCTCAAGTCAGAGAATAGACCAACCACTGGGATCATCTTTGTCACATTTGATCTTTAAAAAACAGGATTATAGTTTGTACACAGATTTGGGCCTGCAGAGCTCTTTACAATTACGGTGTTACAGTAAATTGTTCACTGTGTACTTTATGCAGCAGTGACAACTGTGTTTTTACTTCTGGCAGTCTGAATGCTGCTACTTGAGAGATTGTCAATATGCAGATTTTTGCTGTAATCAAAGTCTATGCATAAAAGCCCCAGCAAATAAACTAAAGATGCCACAACACTGAAGAAACGTTAAGGGAAGACCTTGTTTATACCTAAGCTTACGGAAATGTCAAATTGCTTTAAGTGTTTGCATACAGAACTGCTACACTGTAACCATTTCGCTGTAAACACGGGTGGGAATTCTCAGACCAAGCCTCACTAGGGTGAGATCGTAAAGATTCTTTACATATGCAGATGTCACGGGTCCTTGAGAGCTCAGGTTCGTGACTGCCAGGCCTTCAGCGGCTCATGTGACTTCTTAGTGTAAGTGGAGCGTTGGTGCCTCTGTTGCAAAAAAAGCAAATGCCACTGGAAAGGCCAGGCAGCAATTAGCGACTGCGGGCCCTTCGAGGGTGCGGGTGACGCAAGCCGAGGCGGCGGAGGGCTCGGTGGCAGCACGGCAGCAGCGGGAACAGACGGGCGCCGACAGCGCGGGTGCCGTGGGGAGCCAGGGTGGCACCGCGGCCGTGTCCTCTGGAGAGCGAGGGCCTCCACCGACGGCGTGACAGCCGCTGGCGTGGCCTGAGGGGTTGTGCCTTCTGCCGAGCGTGAAATCCCTTTACTCCCCAGCCCCGGCAGCGTGTCAGCGCCGCGCTGACAGAAACGCTCAAGAGACCAGGATTTCGGTCTCCTTTGCCCTTGCCGAGATACACCTGCCATTTCTTGTCCAAGCTACCTGTACGGAGAGCGCTCTAGGCATCTTTAGAGGTGCGAGCAGCTCGGGGAGGATGTCCTCCGACGTCCCCGCTTTCCGCCCCCCGGCCCAGTGCGCCTTTCCCCCCGCAATCCCCTCACCGCGGCTGCCGCAACCGGGCGCTACCCGGCAACTCAGCGGCACGGTGCGGCTGCCGGTAGCGGCCCCTTCCCCGCCGCCGCGCACCGCCACGGCAGCCACGGCAGCCCCGGGCCCTGCTGCTTCCTTCCTTCGTCCCCC